CTTGAGCGCGTCAGCGGGCTGCTTTGGGCGGTTTTGCAGCTAGTAGTCAGCGGGACAGGCGTAGTTGCCGAACAACCCTGGGCAAGTGACCTAGTCCGCGGCCCCCAATGCTCGCCTTTGCATCGACGCCACCGACTTGCCCCCCCGACCCACCACGCGCCCGCCGCCAAGCCGTGCGCGATGCGAAAATGTACTGGCGTCGGTCACAGGTGCCGCTTGTAGGGAGCAGCGGAATGCTCGGCCATTCCCAGCAACGCCTGGGCGAACAGCTTCTCTAGGTCGTCGGACAGACAGCCGCGCGAAGGAGGTCGCACCCACGGGCCGCTAAGGCGCGCAGCTCATCCTCCTTAAAGATCGGCTGGAGCGCGCCCATCTTGCCTGCCCTCTCTTCCTCTGCCCACTCATTCGTCAGGTCGAGGTGGTGCGCGATGTCGGCCAGCAGCCTCGTCGCGCCCGCCGCTCCTGTAGCCTCCTCTTCCTCCTCCTCCTCGCCCATCGCCTCTAGCCGGCGCGTGGCCTTCTCTGGGGGGAAGTACTCGGTGGTCATCTCCTCCGCGATCCTGGCTCCACGCTCGGGCGCGCCGCGCCGAAGGTGGCCCCGCTGGGGCGACTGCCGAAAAGTTCCAGCGGGGGCGCCGCGTGCGCGGGGCCTAGCCTGAGAGTGCGCCCCGCGAACTCAAGTCCGCGCTGACTGCCTGTGCTGGACGGCGGCCCCCGGCGCGTCTGGCCAGCAATGAGGTAGCTCCCGACGGCGCCTCGTCACGCGATCCTGGGGGCGCTGGGCTCGTCGCCCGCCTTCCGGGCCCCTCAGCAGGGCCGCGCAGCCCCTGGGGGCGGCCCGCCCATGGTAGATGCGCCGGGGGCGGCATGAGCGGGCAAGCCTCACCCTGCGACCCTGGCCCCCCCCGCCTGAGCCTCCTCTACGACTCGGCGGACACCGCGCCTCTCCCTCAAAGCGGTCGCGAACTTCCGTGGGGCCTGCAGTTTCTCGTCGCTCGCGAAAGCCCCGCGGCCCTGCTCCAGCGCCTCCAAGGATGGGGCGATGGCGCCGCGCGCGTCGCCCAAGTCGTTGAAAATTTCACCAGGCTGCGCCCTTTCTGCCGCGTCCAGAGGGCGTCCGCCACCTGCTCGGGGGGGGGGGTCGACCTGACTCGACGCCAATGCTCGCGCCAACGCCATCGCAGCGGGGCTGGTACTCCTCTCCTGCTCGCCCACCCCGTCCTGGATCTCTGCGCCGATGGCCGCCGCCACCGCAGGGGCCTCCGCGTCCATCGCCTCCTGCTTCGCTCTCTCGTCGAACGCCAGCCGCAGGTTGCTCGGGGCCTGAACTTCCACCTCGAGGAAGGTGGTCTCGTTCGTGACCTGGCCGCGCCCCACCTCCTTCTGGCGGCGCGCGCAGAAACGACAATTGAGCCCGCGCCTCCCGCGCCGCCCAGCGAAGCCCCAAGCGCCGCGGGCGGTCTTCTCGAGCAGGCGGCCGGGCAGGCGCGCTTCCCGATCCCGCCGCAAATCGCGACAACCTTTCAAGAGGCGAAGGCCAGAGAGGGTGACCCGCGCCAGCGGGCGGCCGTCAACCTGCAACTGGCTCTGGCGCAGCTGCCTCAGGCTCTCCTGCGGCCTCTGGCTCTCCTGCTACTTGAGGGTCATGGTCCGATCGCGCGTAGGCCCCCCGGTACGTCGCGCGCCCCAGACCATCGCGCCCAACCCACGCGCACGTGCGAGACCACCGCTCGGCCTGGTGCAAACTACGATGCTGCCAGCGCAGGCTCACCATCCTCGCCGATCCCTTGACATTCGAACTTTCGCCATCCTCAAGCATCAACGCGACGGGGTCCCCTCGGGCCCAAGCCCAGCGCTTCTCCTTGATACGCTGGTGAACCACATCGCCTCCCTGGTAAAATATCCCGAGGGTCATGCACCAGGACTGCTCGGACTCCGGCTCCGACTCCGACTTGGGGTCGCGCAGGAGCTCCTATGGCGCATCTACGGGCGACTGACGTCCACGATGGTACCATCGTTGGTCACATCGTTTGAAGCTTCGGCACAACCTGACCCCGCATTTGAAATCCCGACTGCGCGTTTGCGACCTCAGGCTCCCGCGCCCGCAACCCACGCGGGCAGGCGCGGATTCGGAGGGGATCAGTGCGTCGAGGTTGGCGACGGCGCTCTCCGTCAAAGACCCGTAAGCTGGGAGGTGCTCGCTGCATTTGCCGGCGTCGGTGCAAGGTGCCTCTCCGCTGAGATGAACCACTTGATCTCGGGGCTCTTCTAACAAGTTTCCCAGCCGTCGCGGCATAGAGGCGAGCTCAGTGGTATACTGCCAACCGCATCTTGCCCTCCTTGTCTCTATACATGAGCTGAAGGCCGGAAGCGCGCCGCTGTTTCGCGCACCTTGATGATGATGTGGCACGGGCGTTGGTCGAGTCGGGAGCCCTCAGCTGCGCGAAGAAATCGCTGTCCACGGATGTGCCAGCGCTTGAACCTCCCAGGTGCCGCACCGTCGGCCGCGGCAGCCCCCCCCCGCTGGAAGCACCACGGTTGCACGCCATCCGCAGGGCCGCCCCACCGCCTTCAAAGGAACGCACAGGAGCAAGTCCACCGCTTAGGGCAACTCCGACCAACATGGTCAACACGAGGCAGGGAGCACCATCCAGTACAGGTGGGGCCAAAACGCACAGGAAACGACAACGCCCAGGGAATTCACGGCGCTGCCCAGGACACCTCCGCTGCTCCAGACCAGATCGCCCAACGCCAGCTCCAGCACGTTCGTGCACCAACCGCCTGGCCAACTCATTCGCACGTCGCCGAGAAAATAAGCCGCCCAAAGAGCTCCTGTCGTCGTCACCCTTCTCTGGGTCCTGAACGGGAGGGCGCGGTGTTGCTCGTCTACGTGGCCTCCTCCCTCCTCCCTCCTCCCCACTGTCTCGACCTCAAGTGACCTCCTCGACCACGGGGCTCGGGGGTGGCTTTGGCTGGGGGTGGGGCCTGCCCGCAGGGTGGGGGTCCAGGCAACTCGGGCGGCTGCACAGCATCCTCCAGCCAGCGCAGGGTATCCTCAGCAGCCTAGTCTCCTCGCCCTTGCCCCTCGGCGCAAGGGCCAGCAGCTCAGCCTCCTCCGCGGTTTGTGCGGCGGTGGCTGCCTCATCGCCCGCAGCCCGGGGCAGAGACGGGGTCGCCCTCCTGGATGGGTCGATCCACCGTCATACGCTCAGGTCGGGCATGTCCTCCTACAGGCGGATTTTGGAGGACAAGTGTCAAATAATCAAACATATTCAAACACAGTCAAACATGATAAAACAAATCGTCCCCAGACTTTTTTGTTGTGACTAGTTGTTTGGAATTGTCCCCCTGAAGAGGGACCTATCCGACTTACTCTCACGCCCGCGGCTGCCACGAGCCCAGCCATCATGGGGAGCAGAGCCATCATGGAGCACAGCCTCCGCCTCGCAGCACCTCGGCACTCCCCTTGATCCCTGGGGCGCCGCGCTGGCGGCACCTTCCCAAGGCCGTGCCCGCCTCGAACTCCTGTCCTCACCCAGAGGGCCGCTTCTGCGGGCCCCAAGAGTATGCACCACCACCACGTCGATTCCTCCTCCCTCCGCCACCCTCGTCTTCCTCTCCTCTTTCCTGGGGGAGGGAGGAGGTGAGGGAGGTGGCGGTGGCGTGTATATTATACCTTTTGGCCCCGCAGCTTTGGCGGCACTTCCCCGGGGGCCCTCAGCCAGCCTGGCGGACGTCCGGCGGGCGGGCGTGGCTCACCCTTTGCCCGCCCGCTGGGCGGCAGGGCCCCCGGGCGCGATCGCGGCGCCGGCCGGCGCCTCCGATGCCAGAACAATGCTTGAGCCCCATTGGGGCGCGGAGCGAGGAGGAGGAGGAGGAGGAGGAGGAGGAGGAGGAGGAGGAGGAGGAGGGAGGAGGGAGGAGGAGGGAGGAGGGAGGAGGGAGGAGGAGGAGGGAGGAGGAGGGAGGAGGAGGAGGGAGGAGGAGGGAGGAGGAGGGAGGAGGGAGGAGGGAGGAGGGAGAGAAGAAAAGGACAGAGAGAGAGAGAGAGAGACGGCCCGACCCGCACCAGAGCACCACACCCCGTGACTCCACTCCCTTATGCTGCGCTCGAGTTCCCACGCAGCGGGGCGAGTGCAGGCTGGGCCTCTGTGGTTCTTGGCAACGGCAGGGAGGCCACTTTTGCTCCCCCGGGAACCTGATTTTGCTAAGGAACACGTTATACACCAAAACTGTTCGCCGACATGGAAGCACAGACAAACGTCAGGATAGAAACCGGAGCCGGAACCGGAAAACAAACGGGACACGGCGCCAGAATCGGGGAACAACAAGGCAAAACGAAAACTGCATAAAAACGGCCCTGTCGTTGACCACCCACCGAACCACCCCGACCCAACCCGAAATCACCATTCGGCTCGTCAATTTCCGGCGGGGGGGGGGGCACTCCAGAACCGTGGGGAAACATGATGGAGACCGCACCTCCCCACCACCACAACTTTGGGGTGGTCTGGGACCTTCGGCTTGGGCTTGGGTGGCTTGGTAAGCAGTGAGCCGTTTCCAAACATCGGCTACACGCAAGAGTGACTCTAGGCAAGGGGGACCTTTATTTAGTGCGCGGAGTAAAGGGAGCGCAAGGTGGCCATATCCAAGCGCGCAAACACCCACTATCGCATCGCGCTCAGCGATCGGGGGGGACACCCGTGAGCCCACACCAAAGGTCACTCCAGAGAAGGGTCCCTTCTCCTCTTCCTTCTCCGCCTCCGCCTCCTCCTCCTCCTCCTCCGCCTCCTCCTCCGCCTCCGCCTCCGCCCCTCCTCTCCTCCGCCTCCTCCTCCTCCTCCTCCTCCTCCTCCTCCTCCTCCTCCTCCTCCTCCTCCTCCTCCTCCTCCTCCTCCCTCCTCCTCCTCCTCCTCCCCCCCCCCCCCCTCCCTCCTCCCTCCTCCTCCAACTCCTTGGTGGGATGCCGGGCAGCAGGGGCAGGCCCACGGGGCCCGCCCTGCCTGGCCCGCGCGGCGCGCGTAGCCGCCGAGGGCCCCGAGGATGTCCCGGGCCTGCGCGCCCGCAAGGGGGGGGGAAGGCCCCTCGTGACCCACAGCTGGGCCAGCTGTCAGCGAGCGAAGAACGGTACAACAATAAACTTTTTCGCTGTCAGGGGGCGCCTGTCCCTGGGCGGCTGGAAAGTTTATACCCCTACGGTGCCACCGTAAGGGCATAAACTTTCCAGCCACCCTGGGACAGGCGCCCCCGACAGCGAAAAAGTGTATTTGTATACCGTTCTTCGCTCGCTGACTCTGGCCCTCCGAAGCTGGGCTGCGCCTCGGTCTGGGGCGAGAGGATGTGCCCACGAGGACCTCGTCGAGCGCCCCTGCAGGGAGGTCCCCGCGCCTGCTGGGCCTCCTGGGCACCCCTCTTGGACTTTGCCAGCAGGCCCAAAGCGGTCAGGGAGGGAAGTGCCGCGGGCGCGCAAACATGGATTAGGGATCCATGGATTTGGCGCGCGGTCGCCAAATCCATGGATCGGGGGAGGTGCCCTCCCCCAAACGCGGCCGGTGCCGCCTAGTTCGGCGGCGGAAATCCTGCATTTCCCGTGAAAGCGGGACCCGTCGTTAATCCACGCACCGTTGATCTATGTTTGCGATCGCCTGACACAAGGGGGTCCAGCTACGCGAAAACCCAACAGTACATTTGCGCCCGGGAGTGTCTTGCACACCCCAAATCTATTGCACCACCCCATTTTCGCTGGACCCCTTTTGGAGTCAACCAGAAAGGCGCACGGCGGCCTCCGCAGTTCCCTGGCAGCTAGAGATCCCCCGAAGGGGCCCCTGAGATCGAGGTTCGAGGTTTTCCGGCGTCTTCGCCAGTGCTTGGCGGCTCTACGCCCCAGGGCTGCGTTTCCGCGGCCGCGCCTCGACGAGCGTGTTCCGAAGGTGCCCAGGTCGTCCCGAACGGCCATCGGAGAGCCGAAGTATGACCCGATAACGCGTCTGCATGATGCGGGCCCTGCGATCCGAGCGCTGCCTCCTTCGCACCGGGCGCCGTCGCCAACACGTCGCCCACCGCCGGGCCCCAGGGCCATCACATGTCGATCTGGCTCGGAACACGCAGCAGGAAGAGGGGGTCTGGCGGTCCCGTCGTGCTCGGGAGCGGTGTCGCGTGATCCTCGGCAGCGGCGGATCTCGGGGACTGCCCGCCATGCCCGGTCGATCCGTCCTCGGCCGCCCGTGGCTGCTCTGGTGGCGCCTGCGGCTCCGGCTGCTGCGTCTGCTCCTGCTGCGGCTCGGGCGCGCACGAGGACCGCATGCCACGGCGGTCTCTGGGCCAGAGTGTCCTGAGCCGACCCGTGGCTGCCCCAAGGGCACCCAAAAGACAGCCCAGACGACCCAAGAGGGGCCAAACAATGCCCAGGAGGCCCCCGAAGCGGCTCAGAAGAGGCCCCGAGAGGGCCCCACGAGGGGAACTCGAACTGACAGTTCGCGCTCTCCGCCCCAAGATGACCGCCGAGACTGCCAGGGCTCCAAGGGGCTCCCCAGAAGCCCCTTGAGGCCGCAAAGAGGCCCAAATCAGAACCCAGGAGGCCGTCAAGAGGACCCGAGGATCCCCAAGGCAAGGTCACAAGAACATCCTTCAAGAACACGAGACTCTCCACCGCCCAGGCCGAATAATCTTCGAGGATACCCTCTCCAGGATGCACAAGAACATCCAACAAACACGAGGAACACTAGGGTACCATCCCCGATCCGACCTCGATCTTCAGAACTCCCAGCAAACACGAAGGGCATCAGGGCACCCTGCCCGAACCGACCTCGATCGTTTACCTCGGTCCGACCGTGCGGTCAGGAACTGTTGCTTGGCGTGTCGTGGCGGCGGCCCCGGCGACACGCTGTGCCATGCGAGCGGATAGCGTGTCGCTTCGCTCCGCGGGGCGGGGGGCTCGGGACGTCGGTGCCTGGGGACGGCGACGTGGACAGCGTGTCGCGCCGAAGCGTGCGGGGCCAGAGCCGGCGGAACGACATAATGCTGCCCCCGAGAACTGGCCCAGCTAGGACCCCAGAAAATCTGTCAGGAGGGAGGGATGAAGCCAAATCCCTTCAACATCGGTCCCCCGGCCCCTCCTGGTGCCCATCTGGTGCATCTTTTTTGCCCTGGATCCGTTTTATTTAGACAGCCCCGGGGCACGAAAGCTGCACCTGGAGGCCGAAACAGGCAACAAGAAACTGTCCTGAACCACGAGCCTCGAACCTGCCCGCCTTTCCTGCTGGCCCAAACCAATGCTGGGCCACCTCAGAGCCCCAGACGGCTCCGACCGCTAAGCTTGCCCCCCCCCCCGAGAGCGGGCCTGCTGAGCTGGCGGCCCCACCGGCGGAGCCAGCCGGATCGTCGCACAGCCGTCGGCCTCCGCGCAACTGGCGCGCAGGCGCCCCGCGCCCCCCGAGCGAGCCGCCGGCGCCATGCCGCCCTCCCTCGGCGCAAGGGGGGGGGACGGGCCGAGGGGGAGACCAACCACTGGGGGAGGTCCTCCTCCTCCTCCTCCTCCTCCTCCTCCTCCTCC